TCCTACTGGGCTCTGGGGTCTCAAAGTGTTCCTTGGAGATAGATGATTCAGCTTTACTTCCAGAAACGGCACCAAGCTGTCTCTGGTCAAGTGTAATATTATCACATACCAGGAGACCCAAGCCATCCAAAGTAGACCTGGTTCTTGCTTGACTAGGGGCCAGGGAGCTGTGCAATCCATTAGACTGGCAGGTAAGAGTGCAGGAAAGAATGAAAGAAAACAATGGCACAAACAAATACACAAAGCAGTTTCCTATAAAAATAAACTGCAATCCCAAATTTACAAACTCATGCACATTAATATTAACATAGGTAACTAAATCAGCAACCTACAGAATTGGACAAGATGATATTGACAAATGTCAGGCTGATGATTTGAACAAAGCTCTATCAGAGAATGACAGATCAGAAACAAGACTGTAAGGACTATACACGATTTGAACAACATCATTTTGTTCTTGGTCATGGAAAGTCAGTGGGAAAAGCCTCTTTTGGAAACCACTTTCCTCCCTAATTAAAAGAAAGACATGTGAAAAGAACTTTCCCTTTCTTCTCCTGATATATAGTTATCTGAGGACATGATGCTTGGAGCTAATCCAGCCTCCTGGATTGTGAGAGTTAAGAGCCAGCTGGTGAAGGCAGACCACTGAGACAAACGCAGGAAAATGAAGGAGCCTGGTTCTTGATTATATCATCTGACTGCTGCACAATCCCTAGAACTGCCTCCTGCAGACTTCTCGTTACACAAGATACAAATCTTATTAAGTCATTTTCCCTTGTATATCCTATTACTTTCAGAAATCCCCCAAACTGATCTATGAATTAAAGCAATTTCAATAAAAATATCTACACAGTTTTTTATAAATGATTAGCTGCTCTTCAAACCTGTATGGAAGAGCAATAAGTCAAAAACTGACAAGCCAATTTTAAAGGAGAACAGCATTGAGGACTTGCCCTATCAGATACCAGAGTATTCTAAAATTATAGAAATTTAGACGCTATGATACTGGTCCAGAAAAAGACCCAAAGACCAGTGGGACAACATAGCAAGCTCAGAAGCAGACTCAGGTATTATGTGGAAACTTGATGTAATACAGAAGTAGCATTGCAAAGTGGGGTAGGAAACGGTTCTGAGACAATTTATATATATATTTGTGTTTGGAATCCCTAGGAATTCCCTAAGCCAGCAGGTGGACATCCCTCTTGCAGAACAGGACCCGTTGCTCCTTACCTCCTGCCTGCTTGCTGCTCCTTAATACTGCGGTGGAGGCAGGAGAGGCCCCTGCTGCTGCTGCTGCACTCTCCAGCCATGAGGCCAGCTTATGGCTGAGTAACACTCCCCCTGTGGGAGCGCATTGGCCACCAAGGGGCAGCTCTTGCATTGAGCGTCTGCCCCCTGGTGGTCAGTGCGCATCATACTGACCCCTTGTTCTACAGTAAAGATTGTAAAGGCTTTTATTATATAGACTAGAGGCCTGGTGCACAAAGTTTGTGCATGGGTAGGGTCCCTAGGCCTGGCCAATGATCAGGGCCAATCAGGGCTTTCCGGCTGCCGGCTGGGGCCTTCCTTTGTGCCACACCACCTCCTGCTGGTCAGCGCACATCATAGTGAGTGATCAAACTCCCGGTTGAACTCCCAAGGGAACACTTTGCATACTAGTCTTTTAGATAGATAGATAGATAGATAGATAGATAGATAGATAGATAGATAGATAGATAGATAGATAGATAGATGATAGATAGATAGATGATAGATAGATAGATAGATAGATACACACAGCTTTACACTATATAAAAAATAAATTCTATGTGGATAAAGAAGACCATACATACCAGATGGGTTAAGGAAAATATAAGAGAAAGTCATTCTAACATGGAAGTAAAGCTGTTCTTAAAAAATAAACAAAAACAAAAAAAAAAACTGGACAACAACCATGAAGCACTATCAAAAAGAAAGATTGATAAATGTAACGCATTGAAATTAAAATACTCCATGTAACCATGATACCTATTGCGAGAGGCACATGAGCCCTGAACGCATAGTCTTCCTGTTGTGCCCACACTGCAAGGCCCCAATCTCTTTATATATGGTTCCTTTCATAGGATTGTGTTCATAGTGGACAATCCGGAGAGATGAGGTACTATCTCTTTCCACACAGCAGGCATGATACCACTCAATGGGAAAGGGGTGGATTCTCCAAGCACAATATTCCTCTTTGTAAATGCAACCCATTGCAGGTCAGGCATCTGTTGCCCCTGTGGCACTTGGGGGAGATGGGGAGCCAGGACAATTATAATGGCTTATAATGTAAGTTTATATTTGTTTCTACAAGTATATGACCCATCATTTTTAGCCATTCAATACTCAATACTAGTCTCATTTATTATGTCTTCTTCATCACTTGCTTGGCTGGATTTCTATATCTCATATTTTTTCAAGAAGGACAGCATGGAACTATATTTGCTAAACTCTTTTTTGCTAATTTAAAAATGTCTACTGTGGCCTACATAATTGAATAGAAATTTGATTGGATTTAAAATTGTGGAGTCACATTTTCTTTCCGTGGGGGCTTTGTAGCTATTGCTACATTTTCTCCTAGCTGGAGAATGTACAAGAAAGTCTAACACCAAAATAAATTCCTTCTACTCGGTGACTTGATTCTTTTGTCTGGGTGCCATGTTTTGATTATCTTTGAAGTCCAAGCAGCAGCCTTGGCAAAATATCTCCACAGCTTCTAAAAAGGAGCTGAGCAGATTAGTCTCCTCTTTTTGCATATAGTTCATTTTATCCCCAGACCCTGACCCTCTGGATGAAAAAGAAAAAGTTCATTCTCATGTTGAGGGCAGGGTGTGGGGTGGAGGACAAAGAGAAGAAATGATGGGGAATAATTTCTGTTCTGATCCTCACAACTGCAATCAGAATGTCCCACTGTGAGAGTTAAAAGGTCTTTTAAACTTGCAGTAATATTCCAACACCTTTATGCTTATATTATCTAATCTAGTGTTTTTTACCCCCTCAACACTCTGTAGTATAAAGCTACTGTTGTCAGTATTGCTATTGCCTCCAGCACTTTTCATATCAATTTCTGTCATCTGTACTTTTTCTTTGATTTGGGAAAGAGCAAGACTATAGTATAACTCATCCAAGTAAACATGTTTTTATTGATTTCAGAGAAGAAGGGAGAGGGAGAAAGAGATAGAAACATCATGCATGAGAGAGTCATTGATCAGCTACCTCCTGAACTCCTCCCACTAGGGATCCATCCTGCAACCTGGGCATGTGCCCTGACTGAGAATCGAAAATGACCTCCTGGTCAACACCCAACTACTAAGCCACGCCGGCCGGGCCATCCATGTTAGAAGACTGGCAAGAATGACCCCCTTAAGCTGTTTAAATCACTTCCATGTCCGTTTATAACTGAACTAGCAAACAGTGAGCTTGTACTTGTCCAGATTTTCCCTGGCCCCTCAGCCTCTTGCCTTCACAGGGACTTAACAGTGACTCAGGAAATCCCACTCCTTCCTGCCTCTCCTTACTGAGAGCTCACAGCCTGCCAAGCACCAAGGAGCACCCACCCATACCATTCCTTTCAGGGGCTTAGAGTGTGAGGAAGGAGACCCTAGCAAGTCATTCAACTGTCTAAGCTTTATTTTCTCATCTATAAAATGAAGGTGATAATAGCACCTATCTCATCAGGATGCAGTGAGGATTCAATGAACTGAAAGTGCTTCAAAAAGCAACCAGAAGCACTCTATAAATATGGGCTGGGGTATGTGCACGTGTGCACACGCGAGTGCCTGTGTACCAAGGTTCCACTGAGTTTTACACAATCGCAGGTTCTTGCAAGACTACTATTGGTATAAACCACACCTGCTGAAATAGGAAAACCTCAACTCTGCTAAAATATGGGGGAACATTCCTAAACAATTTAAACATATGAATTTTAAAGACGTAATGTTGTAAGTTTTACAATACTAATTAAGTCTCCAAAATTTGCCTCAAGTTTTTTTTTTTTAATTGTTTTTATTTGTGAAGTACAAACTGAAAGGAAAAGACAATAACCTTTTCTAGATTAAGTACAGTCAAGTATCATTCTCGGAGGTATGAAAACAGAATCGCTAGACAATGCTTGGTCTTTGAAGGGAGTTTTCAGCGAAGATATTAAATTGCTGCTGAGGGGTTAGACATTTAACTTTCAGGAAGGGATATTGATGACGATCATTATTTTCAATATTGTTGTGTATTCACCCAGCAGATTTCCCCTAGAGAGCCACAGGCTTCCCAGAACCTGAAATCTGGGGTGTAGCAGCCTTAGCCCTTGACCTAGCTTGATGCTGGCTTTGGAGTAACAGGAGCCCCTGCGGTGAAGAAGAAATGAGCTTTCTCCATCTGACTGGGCGTTCTGTGCAAGTGCCCAGAGGTCCAAGGCAGCAATCAGAGAGCCCGGGAACTGCACATCAGAAGCAACAAGACAAACCTCTGCTGTACCGCCCAGGCTGGCTGAGGCTGGTCACCCCTCTCAGCTCAGTGCCAACTGTGTGGGCTCCAAGAGCCAAGGGCACCGCTTTTCTGGTGTTAGTTTGCTCCCTCCTCCAAGTAAAAGGACCTTAGAGCATTGTGTGGACTGCAATCCATGCCCATCAGCACTGGGGCCTTGCTGGGTGAATGTGAAGCGAGCTGGTCTTCCATTCAGCTCTGTGAGACTGGGCCAACCATTCAATCCCTTAGTTCCCTCATCTGTAAACACATGAAACTGAGATACATGTCACCAAGATCCCTATCAACATAACAGTCTGTGTTTCCAAGGTGACAGCAAAACAAGACTGAAAACACATGTAAAACATGAAAGACTTTAATTGTATAAAAAGTCACCGCGTAATCAGAAGAGTCATGAGAAGGGTGGTTCTAGGCCCAATTTCACACACTTACTAACAAATAAACTAAACTTCATTGCATTCCTGCAGTCTCCAATTCTACATGACAGAAAAAAGATGGCTTACTGGTGACTCGATGTCCTCCAGGAGTAAAACAGAACAGCGCTCGCATTTCAGCAGAGTTTGGGCCCGATGCATTATTTTCTTAACAATTTTCTCCAGGTCAGTCTGTTCCTCAAAGAGGTCATTAACCACCTCTAGCAAAGCCTAGGAAAGACAAAAGGGATGTATTTAGATGGATACATGAGAGATTAAAAGGTTGTTATTTTGTTTCTTTCACAAAATTCCACTTAGCCTTTGCTATAACCTACACTAATAATAGCTGAGGGCTGTCATGAGCAAGTGGACCACCGGTCACCAGGAAGTGCATGGAGCATCTCTGGGTCCCGCCCCCATGGACCCTGGGTTCCTATCACAGCAAGGCTGGCAGCCCAGTGGGCATGGTGAGGCAGGCACAGAGAATAGGGCCTGGCTGCCAGGCACCAGGCAAGCAAGCCAGCAGGCCCACAGACACCAGGGCCTGCCAGCTGCAGCACACTGGCAATCCCACCTCTGCATGAGAGCTACAGAGGAAATACCTTTTCTGACAGCTCATTGGCTAAGCTCCTTGTACGCCCTCGCAGTGTTCTTGGTAACTTGGGTAATAAGAATCCAAGAAGGTGATCTAAGGTTTTGCCACCACATTACTAGAGGAAAAAACTAAGGTCCTCTGCTGGAGGAGCTAAGAAATGTCAAATACTGTCATAGCCAGTTTTGCTCAGTGGATAGAGCCTCGGCTTGCTGACCACAGGGTCTGGGTTTGATTCTGGTCAAGGGCATGTACCTAGATTGCAGGCTCCTCCCTGGCCAGAGCCCAGGTCAGGGCTCATGCAGGAGGCAACCAATCGAAGTGCCCCTCTCACATTGATGTTATTCTCTGTCTTTCCCTCTCTCTTCCACGCTCTCAATGGAAAAAATCCTCGGGTGAGGAAAGAAAGAAAGGAAGGAAGGAAGGGAGGAAGGAAGAAAATTCATATCCTATGTAAGAGACATTTTGAAAATGCCTAAAGAAAGTTGTCATTGTTTTTTTTTTTTTTTTGTGGTGAAGGGACTGGAATTGTGTTGATGAAAATACCTTGGTGGGTGTGGTGGCTGGCAGTGGCAGCAGCATCAGGGTGATGGGGTGGCACCATTCTCTGATCAACCTGGTCACCTCCTACCACCCGCTTGGGCCTAAACCGTCAGTAGGATATCCCCTGAGGGCTTCTGGATTGGAAAGAGTACAGGTTGAGCTGAGGGACACTCCCCTCCACCCAATGCATGAATTTTGTGCACTGGGCCCCTAGTAAAATATAAATATTCTTGTGTGGCTAATTTTTAAAATGTTAATGACTATTTTGACATATTTCCATAATTTTGTTTTATAACAGAGGCTTGAACTGCAAAATACAACTTGAAAATAGTGCCAGCCTATAATCCCACATATCCCATATGGCTAATGACTACATGACTCATATAGTCATTATTACAGGCTTCCCCTCCACCCCCACACAGTAGTTTTTCTGCAGTGCAGCTAGGTATATACCCAACATTTTATAAGTAACAAATACCTGATTCTCTCCATAGCACATTTATTTTAGAAAATTACAAAGCAGCTCCTCCCCCCATCAGAAAGGAATAGCTTCATGGTCAAACTTGAGACTTATTTTCGCTAATACACATCTCTCACAGAAGTCTGAAAGAATTATAGTGGTCAATGCTAATTAGGTTTCAGAGTCTTCCAAAAATATATACAAAACCCCCATTAATCTTTCTGCACAAGAAGTATTGCTTCATCTCAGTTTGTCCAGAAAAATATTTAAATACTATATATATCAGGAAAGAAAACACCATTAAAGTTTAAAACAGGAGAATAAAAGGGAAAGCAAACAAAAAATTTCTAACTTAAAAATTGTGTACTCATTTAATAAAAACAAATGTTAGCTTAAAAAAAGGGAATGGTTTTTCTACTCATTGCAAAAGCAAGTTGTGATAACCTGTTATTTTATCCAGCTAAATTTGCTTGCAATTTTTGCACTGAAATAATAGTTGTTTTTCATTACATGGATGTTTCCAGAGGTTTAAGAATAGTGGGCTATGTACAGGTGAAGATATTATGCTGCTATCCAAGAGCAATCAGAAAATTACACAGCCAATGAATTGGCCAGAGGGTGGTTTATTCAATAGAATTTAATAAGATGTGCTCTCTCGAGTATGATCTCTTGCAAGAGGATTTCATGGGTTTATAAATTCGCATTTATTCAGGGAGATGGTGTTGACCATCATCCTAGCGACGTGGCTGATTTTCAACTTTCATAATAAATTTGATTTGTCCTGAAACCATTTGAAAATTTCTTCTCTCAGTCTATTCAGGTAGAAAAGCATTTGAATGAGTTAATAGATCCATGAAATGAGTCTAGTTCACTGAGCATCTAAAAGAGGACCAAATATTCTAGGTAGTGGTTTCTCTAAAGAGAGCTTATGGAAATGGCTGAAGATTGCTCTATGATCCCAAAGCAAAGAGATAGAGCAGGAGGTGAAAAAAAGTTTTAAATGCATCTTGACGATCTGGCATTTGGACAGGAAATTACCATAGAGGTCAATGTGCGATAATTTCATATTCAAATACAACATTAAAGATGAGGCAATTGTCTGAATAATTACTAACAGAAATTCCCTGTTATTAAGGAGGAAACATTATTTCTTTAATCATCCAGACTATTTCTACAGATGGATCATATTAACGGAACAATTATTTAACTTTTCAATTTGTTTTGACTGCATAGATAGGCCCTCTGAGACCCATACACAAGAACATTTATTTCAGAGGAAAAACTCATTCTGCCTTGAGTCTTGCACTGACAAATCACATTATAGCAACTTTATTGTTTCTAATTAAAAATTGCTGCTGTATTACTAACAAGTAATAAAAGTTTTTCAAATAACAATGCAGTCTACCTCCAGAATAAGAGAAAGAGAAGAAAACCTGGATGATACGCTATTCAATAGACACTGGGAACCTTTCACACAGTTGAACACTCCCTGCTTCCTGACTTCATAGGCATTTCCCCCTCTTCTTCTGGTGGCTTTCTTTTGCTCCTGGCCTCACCCTTGGATCTCTTCCTTTCTCCTTTTTCTTTAATCTCCACCCAAAGATATTTTCCCATTGATTTTTAGAGAGAGTGGAAGAGAGAGGGAAAGTCAGAGAGAACTATCAGTGTGAGATAAACACATCGGTTGGTTGCTTCCCGCACGCACCCTGACCGGGGCCCAGTCCTAGGAGGAGCCTGCAACCAAGGTACATGACCTTGACCAGAATCCAAACCAGAATCCTTCAGTCCACAGGCCAACACTCTATCCACTGAGTCAAACCAGCCAGGGCTCTTCCCTTCTCTTATCCATAAATTCTCCCCCAGATTAACCTTCCTGATGGCCTAGTTGTAAATACTATCTATATGCTGATTACTCAACTGTTTGCTTGAGAGCTGTACAAACCAGTCAATTTTCAGTCATTTCCATGTCATTAAGCATTGTATATTTCACCATTAATTTTGGGGGGAATCTCTCACTTCTCATTGACCGAGTCCTAGCTACAGTATTTTTTTTCAGTTTTATTGAGATATAATTAACATATTACTTTCTATAAGTTAAAGGTATACCACATGATGATATGATACATGTATACTATATTTCAAAATGCTTACTACAATAAGGTTAGTTAACATTATGCATAGCGTCACATAATTAAATTTTTTGTGTGTGGCGAGAACATTTACTCTTTTAGCAACTTTCAAGTATATAAGTATAGTTACCATGCTGAATATTAGGGCCTCAGAATTTATTTATCTTATAATGGAAAGTTTGTACACTTTGACAAGAGTCTCTCCATTTGCTTCACATCCCAACCCTGGCAACCACCTTTCTATTCTCTGTTTCTTTGTGTTCTGCTTCTCCTTGATCCAACATGTAGGTGAGATCATACAGTATGTGCCTTTCTCTGACTTATTTCACTTAGCACAGTGCCTTCAAGGTCCATCCATGTTATCACAAACGGCAGGATTTCCTCTTTTTTATGGCTGAATGATATTCTATTGTGCATATGCTAGTATACACCATAATTTCTTTATGCACTCATTCATCACTGAACACTTCGTTTGTTTCTATAGATAGGCTATTTTGAGTAGTGCTGCAATGAACATGCAGATATCTCTTCAAGGTAGTGATATCATATCCTTTGGATACATACCCAGGAGATTACATGGAAGTTTAATTTTTTAACTTTGTGAAAAACCTCCATACTGTTTCCCATGATGTACAAGAATTCCATTTTTTCCACATCCTCACCAACACTTGCTATTTCCTGTCTTCTTTTTAAAAGTCATTTTAATAGGTGTGAGGCGATAACTCATTTTGGTTTTGATTTGCATTTCCCTGGTAATTAGTGATGATGAGCCTTGTGTCATGTACCTGTTGACCATTTGTATGTCTTCTCTGGGGGGAAAATGTTCAGGTTCTCTGCCCATTTGTAATTGGATTATTTGGGGGTTTTGCTATTGGATTTTATATTTTTTAATATTAACCTCTTATCTGATATAAATGGTTTGCAAAATATTTTCTCCCATTCCATAGGCTGTGTTTCATTGTTTTCATTGTTTCTTTTGCTGTGTAGAAGCTTTTTAGCTTGATGTAACTTCATTTGTTTATTCTTTCTTTTGTTGCTTGTGCTTTTGTGTCAAATTAAAAAAAAAATCGCTGGAGATTTCCCCCTCATTTTCTCCTAGGATTTTTAAAATTTCAGGCCTTACATTTATATCTTTAATCTATTTTAAGTTAACTTTTGTGATAAGATAGGGCTCCAATTTCATTCTTTTGCATGTGAATATCCAGTTTTCAATCAACATCATTTATTGTGAAAAACCTTTTCACCAGTAAGTAATCTTGGCTTTTTGTCAAATATATATTGACTATATAGACAAGGATTTATTCCTAGGCTCTGGGTTCTATACTGGCCTTGCTATCTGTTTTTGATGCCATACCATACTGTTTTGATTACTATGGCCTCATAGTATAGTTTGAAATCAGGAAGTGTGATACCCCCAGCTTTGTTCTTTTTCAGAATTGCTTTGGCTATTCGAGGTTTTTCCTTTCTGTCTCTAGACACACAGACTAAGAATTCTCCTGCAGCAGGGCCTTTGAATTTAATATTTCTACTGCCTGAAATGCTTTCCCCAGATCTTTGTGTGGCTTTGCTCTTTCATTTCATTCAGGTCCCTGCTTAAATATTATCTTCTTATACAGACCTTCTTAATCACTCTCTGAAACAAACATCCTCTCAAATTGTCCTTCAAGGACCAGTCTCTATCCCTTTATCTCACTTCATTTTTCTTTATAGCTTTTCTATTGTCTATTGTTCCCACTAGAAAGGCAAGTTCTCTGAGGGCAGGGACTTTGAACAGATAGTGTCTGAAGAGTTCCACATAATAAATATTTGTTGAATAAGTAAATAAGCTGTGCTGTACATGAGGATGTAGAGATTAATAATACATGAAGCATCCTTAAGGAGTTCAAAATGTAGTTGGAGAGGAGGGATCATCAATTAATAATGTACAGTATGGTAAGAATTCATAATAGACCAATGGCAGTAAAGACTAGGAAAAACAAACAAAGAAAGGAAGATTAACTAGAAGTCTGAGCTGGATACTGAAGGAAATTCAAGGCAAATGGTAGTGGGAGTCAAAAGGTGGATATTAAGGCACTGAATGTAGAGGGAGAAATTTGGGTAAAGATATGAGAAAGTGAAGCAAATAGATAGTTTTCTGGAAAACGGGGACTATATTGTTGGAGTGCCACATGAAAAGAAGGGAATGGTAAGACACAGGGCTAATGATGAAATAAGGATCCAAATCAGAGAAAAGGTGTGGTATGTTATGCTGAAGAAGATTACTGTAATAGTGAAATGTGTTTATTTGTGTACTATGGAATATTCATCAATCATAATGATTAGCAAATGGAACTTTCAATCAATTTGACTACCAATTAATTGAAGGTTTTCAACCTTTGGGAACATCTTCTTGTTAAATATATTTTCAAGTTGTGACAGTAATTTCCCTATATTTAAAAATATAATGAGGCTAATATAAAGTAACCCCTCTTTGATAGTTTATTTTTTGAGCATCTGTCTTTTCTTACCTATTAAACTCTATAACTGGTAAAGAAGGTATATGAGATCAATCCCTCTGTGTGTGTTTCTTTATAATACTACTAGAGGCCCATGCACAAATTTGTGCATGGATGGGATCTGGTCAGCCCACCCCGATGGGGGCCTATCACTGGAGGGGCCACGGTGGTTGGCTACAAGCCCGCCCCCAATTGGGGTATTGGGTGTTGTGGGGTCGAACCCTGGGTTCAAAATAAGACCACCAGAGGCTGATGATTGATTAAAAAAAGCAGGCAAGGATTTATTGAAATATCTGGCCAGGACAGATGCGAGAGCACTACACGCAGGTGGACTCCACACAACTGCACGGTTCAGGGGTAGGCAATCCCTTTTAAAGGTTAAAACCACAGGAATTTTCCTTTGTTCTAAATTCTAAATCCTAAAGACTACATTCTAAAGACTGGGGTCAGTCCGCAGGGTCATCACTAGTCACATCCTGCTGGACATTGGAATGTGGCCCTATCTTGTGATAGCCGATAGCACATAAGCAGAGCTCAGAGGTTTTTTCTACAGTTTCTATCTCTGTAGGTTACTGAGTTAGTGGGAATTACTCTCCTGTGCTCCTGGTCCCAGGCAAGGAAAAATTGCCTTAGCCTCCAGGTCTTCACCTGAAAGCTAAGGTAAATAGCTTCCCCGCCCCCCCCCCCCACCATGTTTAATCAGGTTCAGGAGCCAAACTAGAAGGGTTAAAATTCAAACAGCAGTTTTTACCAAAATATGGTTGCCACTATATTTCATTGGGGGCTGATTGGGGCCCAGATCAGGCTGATTGGCTGCTATAGTGCCATCATAGCCACCAGTAGTTCCAGTTGTTCTGGTCGTTCTGCTGTTCCAGTCCCTGGGCTTTGATATATATATATATATATAATGGTGTTTGCATATTTTCCAGTTATCTTGTGATGGTCTGCCAGAAAGTCTTTTAATTCAAAAACAAAATCTGTGAAATGGGGTAAAATTATTTATAATATTCCTTGTTTCTTAAAGAAATTAAATTGTAAAAATGTTACTAAATTGTGTTATTGTTTCAGACCTATAAGTAAGCAAGCCTATACTGTATGATAGTATAGATGTAAAATTAATTTCCTTCTTAAAATAATCTGGTACTATTTCTTGCATAAAAAACAACAGAGAATTTGTATCCACTTCTGTTTGAGCCCATTGCTTAAAGGGGTCTTCAACCATAGATTGTAGGATTATTGAAATAAAAAAGATTCCTAGAAAGTTCAAATGTCATCTGAGATTAATGACTCACAGATTCTTGAAAACAGAAAACTTTGAGGGTTGTAAACCAAATTTCTTTCTACTCACCCTGCTTCTTTCATATTCTTTCCTGGAGGCAGCAAATACCTGAGCATTAGATATAGCAATTCCACAGAATGGAAGATACATCTGCATAACCTGGGGGCAAAGAGAGTTAAGAGCATTGAAACATCACTGAACCAGACTCCGCATTTCCTGCATATACCTAATTGTAATACTTTCTTTTCCACCATAGAGATTGAATATGGCATTATTGATACTGGTAACTTCAGAAGGCATATTTTTCAGAGTTAACTCAATCAAGCTGTAAGTAAGGACAGTCACATCTAAGAAGACCTTAAGGGAAGCTACACATTATATGATGGCTGTGAGACAAGAACTGTGTTTAAGTCATCTTTATCTTCCTTCTTTGAACGAGAAATGAATAAACTCTGATATATCTAGAATTTAAGGCTCACACTCAAATTTAAAGGTAGGCAGAATATTAGTCTATTCTTTGTGCCTATATATTATATCTGTAGCAGGGAATCTCAGCTTGATCCTAAAGCTCTGTCAAGTCCAGACACAAATATTCCTGTTAAGATTGGACTAGTAAGAACTTAGGGGCCAGAGAACCTACTAGCCTCATGCAAAAGAGACCAAACTGTGTGCACTACTCTGCAGACATAACTGGACATGAATGCAAATTGGTGGGATGGTCCTACAGAAGTCTGTTTGAAAAAAAAAAAAAAGTCTGAGAATTCTTTAAGAGAGCACTCCTTCTACAGGAAGAAACAGGTATTATGGACCTGATCCTAAAAAATCTTTCTCATCACAAAATGTTTGTCTAAAGATTTTCAGTACTGCCTGGTATTCACATGCAAATTCAATTCCACAATCTCTAATTCCAGAGGAAAAGAGAATGCCCCAAGTAAAAACCTAAAGCATTATCTCCCTAAACTCTTCATAAAGTAGGATATTGTGACAAGTGATATATCTTTGGGACTTCTCTAAAGCAGAGGGATAAGGGCATGTTTTATGTTATATTCTGTCTGTCTGTCTGTCTCTCTTTCTCTCTCTCTCTCTCCCTCTCTTTCTCACACACACACACCCCACCACCACCACCACCACCACCCCACCACCACCACCACATGCCCTGCAAAAATATACAGAGCAGTGCTCACAGTTGTGGGGAGGGATGAGAACAGCAGGAGCAGATCTTCCCATGGACACACACATATGCATGTCTGAGACACCCCTGGGACACCGAGAACATAATTATTTGGAGTGAAAGATGATGAAGGGAAATTCAATCAAAACCTTGCTTTGGCTACTTGGGCATATTCAACTCTGACCTTGGGTTCCCAAAAGTATTTCCAAATGATATAGAAGCTAATACTGTGACCCCAATCTTAAAGAAGAGAGAAAAATAGTAGGATTGGTATTAAGTAGAGGTATAAAATAAATGGTTTCATTGTTGCAGATATTTTTCAGGATAAATTCCTTCAAAGTAAACCAATATCCAATGAGGACTTTCCTTATGCCAGATACTCTCACTTCATTTCTTCATTTGAATTGCACATCAATTCCCCACGGAGGAGCATTTTACAGATTGGGAAACTCAGTAACTTGGCTCAAACTCACACAGAAACTCAGGCTCATCTAATTTTACAACTGATGTTCCTTCCTACAACATGTTGCCTTTGAGAACTAAATGTTATTTCTGTCACCCTCTCCTTCCCTTCCTTACTACTCATGACTTAAGAAGTTTGTCAATAAACCATTACAAAGCTCTCAACATAAAGCTGCCAGATACTCTGCCAGATTTCCCCTGCCTTGGCCAGAATGAGACTGTTTTCAACATCACCTACACATTCAGACAGCATTTTCTTGCAGTTTTCTGGGGGGGTTTTCTCTCTGTAGTAGAGAGATTGACAATGATGGAAGTGGAAACATGGGTTATTTTAACTTTCTTCCTTTCTGTATTTATTTGCCTTCAGGGGCTAAATTTAAGATGGATTTTATAAGTCAAGTACATAGAAAGAAGGCAATGATCTAATAGACATGTGAAACACTTTCTAATATATCACAGGCTTGCTTTAACTCATTTGTAATACTATATATATATATATATATATATATATATATATATATATATATATTTTTTTTTTTTTTTTTTTTTTTTAGCTACAAGCATTGTGTATAATTAAAAAGAATCTGACTTTTAAATCAGATGACCATTGTCCTTTATTTGGCTGTTCTGTGAGAAAGTCAACAAATCACTCAACCTCTCTGAACTTACTGCTTTATCTGTCAAATTCCTGGTTTAACTGGATAATCTTTCTGGTCCTTTTTGTTTTAATATTTGGAGATTCTAATAATTAGAAACATCAACGAACTGTAAAATTCTATTTGCTAGAGGAAACAAATAATTCAATGAACATGCTCATATCTTATTCAAGATAATCAGTTCTAATAGTCATTGATATTTATAAAGTCTTTGGATATGATGTTAAGCATTTCATATGTACTACGTCATTTGATCATCACAATTATGTAGGCTATATTATTTTTCCATTTTTCAGAAGACAAAATTGAGGCATTGTAAACTTATCCAAAGTTATTTGAAGATAAATCCTCCTGGGTCTCTTACATTTCTGCACATATTAGAAACAAAGGTATTGGCTCTGTCTTTCAAGGTGTTTGTATAGTCAACAGCCTTGGGGAAAAGATAATGTATTTTTCCAGAGCAAGAGCAGAACTACTATGCAATATAATTAAGATAATATCACTCTCTGGAGCAGAGTTTAGGCAGGCTAACTGTCCATAATAAAAGATTTGGCTTCTCTACATTTGAGGTTCCTCTCCCATAACACAGGCCCTGGGTTATCTCCATATAATGTTACTGAAGATTTTATCTCAAGCCAAGGCATCTGTTCACATATCATTAAGACTATTGTTTGTTTTCACTAGTCTTATGTTTATATATAAACTCCACAACATAGTAACTCCACAACATAGTTACTTAATACTTGTAATTGGTAAGAGCCCCAGGAACAATTACTAAAATTCATATTAAACTTTTTTACTCCTTTGTTTACTAAGCCAGTTGTTGATTTTTTTTTATTTCATTGATTATCTCTTCTACTATATTACATTTTCCTTTATTTTAGTGATAAAACTAGAAAAGTTATGTATAAACTTAACAAAATCTAAGTTTAACACCTTTAGATTCCTTGCAAATAAAATAAGGACCTTGAAATACTTTAACTCTTGACACTACTCTCCTGGTATACATGTTACTTCTGTTTGTTCTGTCTTTTTTTGTTACTGAAAATTGGACATTATTATTGCTATTATTAGTTGAAGTATACTTATATTTAACCATAGATTTACCAAACTTTCTCTTTTCATTCCTTTCAGCATCTTTTCCCTCCCATTCTGGGATTATTTTCTTACCTTTAAAATACAATACTTTAAAATATCCTTTAGCATTGGTGGTAAATGATTTGTTTTTGTTTTGTTTAAAAATATCTTTATTTTATGATCATCTTAAAAGGTAATTTAGCTGGGTATACAATCTTATTTTCTCTCAGAAGATATTATTTCCCTATCATGTGCAGTTGATGATGCTGTCAAATCTAATTCTTTGTAGATTATACATCATTATTTTTGGTTTCTTTTAGAACCTCTTTAAGTCTATGGTGGGTAACTGTACTTTTCCATTTTCAATCAAAAGCTTAATGAATTTCTCTCTCTCTCTCTCTCTCTCTCTCTCTCTCTCTCTCTCTCACACACACACACACACACACACACTTAAAGAACACTATAGATAGAGACAATATCATACCTTCATCTTTCGTGACATATTGCAAACTGATACGGGAATTCATTTACAAGGGGAATGATCTACACTGTGTCATTCATTCATTGGCACAATAATTCAGCACTTTGGGCGAGACTAAACTCCATTATGAGTATCCATATAAAAATATAATCAATAGAATTTCTAAGTAAATGTACAGGCAAATACATTTTGAAAGCAGGAAGTAAGAAGCTGAAGTAGTAGGGAAATAAAAGATAATAAAAACCAATATTTTAATATCCTCTTTTTTCAGTCTCAGTGCAACAGATATCTTTTTAAAAAAAGATCTATTGTTATATTCTGCTCTTTCTGAAGTCCCTATCCTCCACAAAAAAAAAAAAAAAAAAAAAAAAAACCACCAGAATGACTAAGAAGCTAATGAGTCTGTACACCCTTGTGCAGCACTTTTCAGCTTGAAAGCACTTTATGGACATTGGCTAATTAATCTTTACAACATCCCACTCAGAGAGGGAGTTAAACTGAAAACCATTAAACAGTATGAAAAAGTCACTTTAGCCCTGGAAACTCATGAAAAGTATCACTAATAAGCATAAACTGTGAACACTGGGACTTTCCATCAATGTCCTAAGAAAGACAGTAGGTACCAAGCCTTTGTAAACTTATACACCACAGAGAAGGCTGTTAATACCCCATGATCTGGTCTAGTCCAATTATATATCATTAAAGAACACTGGGGTCCTAGACTAGAGATTCTCAGTGAGGGGCCTGGGGCCACCCCCTTTATGGACCCACTCCTGAAGGCAAAGCAGCTTGAAGAGCCACATCACTGTCAGCCAAATTAATGGGTTAGAGGAGGCTTTCCTCCATCATGCAACATCTTCCTCTGTGCAGTTCCTGAGATGTGGCTCTATGTCTCTTCTGCCCTCAGGTGTTAACTATTAGGCAAAGCTTCACTGATTTGGGTCCCAATGGTGATGTTTTAAGATAGTTGTAAAACAAATGCTAAAAAAAAAAAAATATTCAAGTAGAGTAAACTTATCTTTACATATAAAACATCTCCCACATCTTTTAGAAATAGACTATTAAAAACAGTTTTAAAAGTTAGTTGGATGTTTTTCAGACTCCAGAGAAATTTCTGCTTCTAGAGTAGAGTTTGGTTCATTGCAATTTTGTGTCTATGCAAAGTCAGTAAAAACAATAGGTCAGGTTCTATTTTAAAAATCAGTATTTTACAAGAATCTTGTCAGCTCACACCAAAGTAAATGCTCTCGGCTAAAACATGCCTGTTTCTAATTGTGCTGTGCCCTTTTGAAGAAAACAGTCTCCCAAAAAT